CATGTGGCACCTGACTTTTCCACAGCAGTTCAATCCTGATCTAACTAACTCTTAACAAACCTGGTGATTGTCCCCTGTGAAACAGCCTGGACTGGAGGAGGAGCTGCACGTGTGGTCAACTGGTCACTTGGAGGGCAGTTAGTTTTCTCTCTCTCTCTCTCTCTCTCTCTCTTTTTCTTTTTTTTTTTTTTTTTTTTTTTTTTAGATTTGTTTATTTGAGGGGCTGGTGCTGTGGTGCAGCGGGTTTATAACGCCCTGGCCTGAAGCGCCAGCATCCCATATGGACGCCAGTTCGAGACCCAGCTGCTCCACTTCCGATCCAGCTCTCTGCTATGGCCTGGGAAAGCAGTAGAGGATGGCCCAAGTCCTTGGGCCCCTGCACCCGGGTGGGAGACCTAGAAGAAGCTCCTGGCTCCTGGCTTTGGACTGGCACAGCTCTGGCTCTTGCAGCCAACTGGGAAGTGAACCATTGAATGGAAGACCTCTCTCTCTCTCTGCCTCTCATCTCTGTGTAACTCTGCCTTTCAAATACATCTTTTAAAAAAAAAAAAGAAAAAAAGATGTATTTGAAAGGCAGAGTTACAGAGAGAGAGAAAAAAGAGACAGAGAAAGATCTTCTATGCAGTAGTTCACTCACCAAATGGCCCCAATGGCCAGAACTGGACTGGTTCAAAGCTAGGAGCTGGGAGTTTCTTCCAGGTCTCCTATATGGGTGCAGGGACCCAAGCACTTGGGCCATCTTCCACTGCTTTCCCAGACCATTAGCAGGGAGCTGGATCAGAAGCAGAGCAGCAGGTTCTCAAATCAGGGGCAGTTAGGTTTTGAGCAGCTTTTTAAAAGTTATTTTTATTTATTTGAAAGGCAGGAGTCGGGTTGTCAAGGTGACAGAGTGCTTCCAACTGCTGGTTCACTCCCCAAATGCCCACAACAGCCAGGCCAGGACCAGGCCAGGAGCCAGGAATGCAGAATTCAATCCTGATTTCCCACTTGGGTGGCCAAGACCCAACTACGTGAGCCGTCGTCTGTTGCCTGCCGGGGTACACATTAGCTGGAAGCTGGGATTAGAAGCAGAGCTGGGACTTGACCAGGTGCTCTGATATGGGATGCAGGCATCCCATGTAGCACCATAAGCCCGCCCCAGGGCAGTTGTTCAGAAACACTTTGGTGACTTCAGTCTATTTATGCTAGCTCTCCCTCTGCTTATCCCCTTCACCAAATCACAGTTGGTTTTCCTTTCTGTGACCTGACCCTTGTGTGATAGGCAAAGAATTGCATCCTGCTTTAGCCTTTAATGGGGACTGTCTTATAGCATTGGCGCTAGGCAAGGCAAAGATTTTGATCTAGTAACCTTGGAGCAGAGGAGGCCCTACGTACTCCTGGGACCTGGCTCTGATGCAAGGCAAAAGTACCTCCTGCCCTTTTATGCATAGTCTTCCTGTGTGGGCACCTCATTTTGAGAAGAAAATAAATTTTCTTTGAACCATTAGTTGCTACTGAGCTACTTTTGGCTGAGGCTGTAGTTGTTGGGTTTGTCCCTGCTAATGGGAACCCACGTTGGATTGTGACCTGAAGACTGGGGTTGCCAGCAGCTGTGTGCCAGAATGATGTTACCCCTCTCCTCCCGGCAGTCAAGTCTTTGGAAGGCAGCTGTTTCCACACCAGCCACTGAGTCTCCCCCGCATCGCCCTTCTGGTCTTGAGGCTCTGCCAGGGGTGTAGTTCTGATGTTGTAGCTGTTGTGAATGGGCATCTACTTTAGTTACTATGGCGACTCTTCTGGAAAACCCATTCGTTTCTCGCCATTTGAGGGAGGAAAACCAATGGAGAACCTTATTGTCATTGGGTGTGGGGAACAGAAAATTCTCTGGTCTGTTGATAGATCCATCCTGCCTTTTTGAAGCAGTACCTACTGTGTGTCCATATAGAGCTTACTTTAGAGATAGAATGGATTTGAAAATGATGATGGACTATTCTATAGAACTTGAAAGAAGTAGGAAAATTGTTGTTTTTCCTTATTTAAGAAAAAGAAATTTTAACTTGAGAGGGAGGGAGAGAGAGATCTCCCATCCACTGGTTGATTCCCTAAACTTCTCAAATACTCACAACAGCCAGGGCGGGGCCAGGCTGAAGCCAGGAGCCAGGAGCTCCATCTGGGTCTCCCATGTGGGTGGCAGGGACCCAAGTCCTTGAGCCATCACCGGCTGCTCCCCTTGTTTTTTGTTTTAGATTTAGGCTATTTATTTGAAAGGCAGAGTGACAGAGGGCACAGAGAGAAAGAGATTTTTCCCATCTGCTAGTTTACTCCCCAAATGGCCGCAAGTGCCAGGGCCATGTCTGGCTGAAGTCACGAGCCAGGAGCTCCCTTGGGGTCTGCCCTGTGGGTGGCAGGGGCCTAAGCAGCCATCTGCTGCTGATTTCTCAGGTGTGTTAGCAGGAAGCTGGGTCAGAAGCAGAGCAGCCTGGATTCTAATGCCTGCAATGGCTGGAGCTAAGCAGGTGATAGAACCAGGGACCAAGAACACAATCCTGGTCTCCCATGGGGTGGTAGGTACCCAATTATTGAGCCATCACAGCTGCTTCCCAGGGTCCTCACAGACAGTAAGCTGCAGTCAGGAGCCAGAGCTGGGAATGAAACCCAGACACCTTGACAGGAGATGGGCATCTTAACCAGCAGGCTGAATACCTGCTTCCAGAACAAGACATTTTATTATGAATTATAAAATGATGATATATTTATGCTGATTTATTTTCTAGCAATTTTATTACTATAAGCAATAAATAAAAACAAAAATGAGATTATAAATACATTTACCTGATATTTGACTTACGTTTCTTCTGATATGTTCATTTTTTTCTTAGAAATTTTCATGGAGATAGTGTATATGCATATTCAGGGCTGGCACCATGGCTCACTTGGTTAATCCTCTGCCTGCAGCACTGGCATCCCATATGAGCGCTGGGTTCTAGTCCCGGTTGCTCCTCTTCCAGTCCAGCTCTCTGCTGTAGTCTGGGAGAGCAGTGGAGGATGGCCCAGGTGCTTGGGCCCCTGCACCTGCATGGGAGACCAGGAAGAAGCACCCGGCTCCTGGCTTTGGATCAGCGTAGTGCCGGCCGTAGCGGCCATTTGTGGAGTGAACCAGTGGAAGGAAGACCTTTCTCTCTCTCACTGTCTATAACTCTACCTGTAAAAAAAAAAAGAAAGAAAAGAAATTTTCATGGAGATTGTTTATATGCATATTCAAATGTTTCCTCTAGTTTTATGTGCCTTTAACAAAATTCTGTGCATCAGTAAACATCCTGAATGTTTTGTTTCCATGTGACAGTTAAAATCTAGTTTTTACCGCAGTCTGCCATATCTTGAACTTTTTCATTTGACGTTTCAAAGATTTATCATTTTGGTAAAACAAACCAGACAACATGTAATGTTTTGGGAATTTTGTTCCCCGGTGTGGTTTGAAATGTGAGGACAGTATCAATTTTGTAAAATATGAGTGGAATAATTTTAAATTAGGAGTTCTTGGGGAGGGCATTTGGCACAGCCATTAAGATGCCACTTGGGATCCCTCTATCTGTATCAGAGTATGTGGGTTTGACTTCTGGCTCTGATCCCAGTTCTATCTTCCTGCTGATGTATACTCTGGGAGATAACAGGTGATAGCCTCAATAATTGGTCCCTGCCACCCATGTGGGAGACCTGGGTGGAGTTCTAGGCTCCCAGCTTGAGTCTGGCCCAGCCCCGGCTGTTATGGGCATTTGGGGAGTGAACCGGTAGATGAGAGCTGTGTCTGTCTCTCTGTTTTTCTAAGTAAGTAAAAAGAGGGGAAAAATTAGAGGTTCTTAATCTAGGGTTTATAAAATAAATGAAGCCCCTGAAATTAAGGCAAAATGTAAAGTCTAAGGATGTGAACATTTTTCTGGGAAGGGTCTGTGGTTTCCCTAAGCTGTTCGAGTCCCTGTCTTAGAAGTGGCCGGGGCCGGTGCTGTGGCATAGTGGGTAAAGCCACCGCCTGTGGTGCCAGCATCCCATATGGGGGCCGGTTCAAGTCCCGGCTGCTTCTCTCCCAATCCAGCTCTCTGCTATGGCCTGGGAAAGCAGTAAAGATGGCCCAAGTCCTTAGGCCCCTGCACCTTGTGGGAGACCTGGAAGAAGCTCCTGGCTCCTGGCTTTGGATTGGCCCAGTTTCAACTGGCCAGCTGGGGAGTGAACCAGCAGATGGAAGACCTATCTCTCTCTCTCTCTCTACCTCTACCTCTACCTCTCCTTCTCTCTCTGTGTAACTCTTTCAAATAAATAAATAAATCTTAAATAAAAAAGTGGCTAAAAACCACTGCCATGAGTGATTGTTCGTTACCTCCGTCTCCGCGGATAGAAACTGAAGCTTCCTTTGTTTTATCGTGGGCTTCCCTGTAATCTGGTGAGGGGTGGGATCGTGTGGGGAGGCGGGTGGAGTACGGTTTTCTTTTCCTTTCCTTGTTACGACCTCTTCCATGCCTCAGAATAAACACTGAAGAATTCATTACTTACTCTTTTCCTGGGAGTGTCTTTTGGTACTTGAGAGAACTGACTGTTTAGGCAGCTTGAAGCAAGCTGAGAACCTGAACCTAGACGTTCCCTGTGGATTTTGGGTTCTGAAACTGAAAAGAGGGTCAGCAACAAATTCAAGCTTTTGGGCAGTTGAGATGGTGGCTTCAGTTACAAATGGTTTTTCCTCGTGAGCAGGAATGGAAGGTCTGAGGCTCCCAGGGCAGTCCGGGCCGGGGGAGCCAGCTGGCCCTGTCGTGCAGCCCAGGAGAGCAGGGGCGAGAAGGTGATGTTTGTGCTCAGGAATTTTCCTGAGTTCCCTGCCTCTGAGATGGGCCTGGGCCAGGGCACGGTTCTGTGTGGAGCTGCCTGTTGCTGTGCTCAGCTTCAGCTCCAGGGAGACTGGAAAGGAAGCTCCGGGCCTCCAGGGAGCCGTGCTGACCTCCTGCCTCTTTTCCGTGCCCTCTCCTTGCGTGCAGGTGGATGGAAGCGTGCCTGGGGGAAGATCTGCCACCCACCACAGAGCTGGAGGAGGGGCTGAGGAATGGCGTGTACCTTGCCAAGCTGGGGAATTTCTTCTCTCCCAAAGTGGTGTCCCTGAAAAAAATCTACGATCGAGAGCAGACCAGATACAAGGTGAGTCCTTCCTTGCTTGGTGCTCAGGTTTCTGTAAACTGGGGAGAAAAGCTCCATGTATTTTATTCCTTATGAGAGTTCTTGAGAGACAGGTGGAGGTGTGTTTTGTTACAGCAAAATGGTATAGCCTTTAAAAATGCCTGATAGAATGAAGAAAATACTTGCGCTGCAACAGCAAAATACAGCAGTAGAAGAATTTTAACTGTGTTTCTGGTCGAACTCTTACAGTTGTGTGTATCTAGTTGTTTTCATGGTTCTATATGAACTTTTTCATTCTTAGAAAGTAGAGGGATTGATTAGAGGAATTATTACTGTAAATCTGATTTTTAAAAAAATATTTATTTATTTATTTGATAGGCAGAGTTAGAGAGAGGCAGAGGCAGAGAGAGAGATCTTCTGTTTGCTGGTTTACTCCCCAAATGGCTGCAATGGCCAGAGCTGGGCCTATCCAAAGCCAGGAGCCAGGAGCTTCTTTCGGGTCTCCCACACTGGTGCAGGGGCCCTAGAACGTGGGCCATCTTCCACTGCTTTCCCAGGCCACAGCAGAGACCCTGATTGGAAGTGGAGCTGGGTCTCGAACTGGGGCCCATATGGATAGATGCCGGCACTGCAGGTGGTAGCTTTACCGACTGTGCCACAGTGCCGGCCCCCTGTAAATCTGATTTTACCTAAGCATTGAGATTTGTTAGCAAATTGAAAGCAATAGCAGCTTGAGGAAAAAAAAATACCACCCCATGATGTTGGAGTTTAAGGTAAAATGGAAACGTGATCCAGTTTGAGAGTCAGGTGAAGGAGTTTGATTCCTGTGGCCCAGTGCCCAGAGAAAGCAGACTGCTGAGGTGAGTCAGGATGTGGACCAGGGTGAGGCCTGTGTCCTGTTGTCTGCATGTCTCCTGGAGGGCGCTCGCGGTTGGCACAGGATGAGAACAGAAGATTGTGCAGGGCTGCATAACCCAGAGCAGACGTGAGAGAGGGGATGAGTGTGCGATGGGGCCAGAACTCAGGGTGAGCTAGGGTTGCAGTCTCAAAAGAGATTTAGAGATTTTTTTTTTTTTTTTTTTTTGGACAAGCAGAGTGGACAGTGAGAGAGAGAGACAGAGAGAAAGGTCTTCCTTTGCCGTTGGTTCACCCTCCAATGGCTGCCACGGCAGGGGCGCTACGGCAGGCGCGCTGCGGCCAGTGCACCGCGCTGATCCGACGGCAGGAACCAGGTGCTTCTCCTGGTCTCCCATGGGGTGTAGGGCCCAAGCACTTAGGCCATCCTCCACTGCACTCCCTGGCCACAGCAGAGAGCTGTCCTGGAAGAGGGGCAACCGGGACGGAATCCAGCGCCCCAACCGGGACTAGAACCCAGTGTGCCGGTGCTGCAAGGCGGAAGATTAGCCTAGTGAGCCGCGGCGCCGGCAAAAGAGATTTTTACGCTTTATGTTTAAATTCAAGGGAAAACAGGGAAGATGTAAGTCTTCAGCCAAAATTAACATCCTAAACAGAAGTTTTCTCAATCAAAAAGCAAAAACCTGTATGTTGAGTTTTAAATAAGCAGTTGTTCTGATGGCAGCTCTTGTGTTGCAGGCAGTGTAGTGAGAAGGGAAAGGAGAGGCCAGGCGGCAGCAACACTGGGAAGGACGTTCTGCCTCGCTGCCCTTCCTAGGAGCAAGCAGCAGGCATAGAGGTTTAGAGGGGGATCTTCTCCATGTAGTATGAAAGCCTGCGGAGTAGTTTCCGGCTGTACAGGCACCTCACCGGGCTTTATGTGTATTATGTCATTTAATCTACCACAGTCATGGAAAGCAGGTGCTACAGCCAGGAGTGTCACCTGGAGACGGCCAGCCTGGGGCCCGAATCCCCGATAGCCCTGAAGGCCACGTCCAGGCTGGCTCACTGCACACAGCAGTATTCTCTAGGTGGAAAACGAGTGAGAGGAGCTGACTTGTTGGTGTTGGGATGGGTAGAGCGACCTGGAGGTCTCACATGGGAACTTTTGCAAGGAGAATCTTTGGTATTTGCTTCAACATAGCCAACCGTGCCTCATGGTCTTTTCTTTCCCTAGGCCACTGGTCTGCACTTCAGACACACTGATAACGTGATCCAGTGGCTGAACGCCATGGATGAGATTGGGTTGCCTAAGGTAACTTCCCTGATACCCACAGCGCTGGCTGCGTCTGACTGTCCTGGCCAAACCGTTCTCGTTCTGTAAAATCATTCTGTCTTTGGTGACTGGCTGACTGCCTGCCTGCCTCTCTCTCTCTCTCTCTCTCTCTCTCTCTTTCTCTCTTTCTCTCTTTCTCTCTTTCTCTCTTTCTCTCTTTCTCTCTTTCTCTCTTTCTCTCTTTCTTTCTTTCTTTCTTTCTTTCTTTCTTTCTTTCTTTCTTTCTTTCTTTCTTTCTTTCTTTCTTTCTTTCTAATACTTACAGTCTGTTTCTTCTGTTTGATTTAGGAAATAGTTTTTCTTTCGTGTTTCTTTCACCTCCTCCTAGAGAAATACCCTATGATGATATTTACTTTCTCTACCTCAAAAAGTAGACTTATACTACAGAATTTTTTAAGGAAATAATTCATATACACTGAGATTCACAACTTTTAAAGTCTACAATTCAGTGATTTTAATTTAGTCACTACGTTGTTACTTTAAAATTAGACTTTAGGAAATATTTTAGAAATGTCGTCCTCAGCTTCAGAGTAGTGACACCCGTAGGGAGTGGGAAAGGTCGTTCTGTGTTTCAGGTGGTAGAGTGATAGGGTGGTGTTTCCCTCCCCACCTGTGCTTGGTGATGGTAGAGGCTTCGGTACAGGCGTGGGCGTCCTCAGGAGCTTACTGAGAACTGCTCGCAGCCACACCCGGTCGCCCAGGCCTGCCTGGAATCCATAAAGGCCTTGCTGCTTTGTCACTCTTAGATGAGTGGGTGTTGTCTTCACTCGCCCTTTCCCTTTCTCTCTCTCTCTCTAATTTATTTTATTTATTTGAAAGTCGAAGTTTCTTTTTTTTTTTAATATTTATTTATTTATTTTGAAATTCAAGGTTTTTTTTGACAGGCAGAGTGGACAGTGAAAGAGAGACAGAGAGAAAGGTCTTCCTTTGCCATTGGTTCACCCTCCAATGGCCGCCGCGGCCGGCGCGCTGTGGCCAGCGCACCGCGCTGATCCGACGGCAGGAGCCAGGTGCTTCTCCTGGTCTCCCATGGGGTGCAGGGCCCAAGGACTTGGGCCATCCTCCACTGCACTCCCGGGCCACAGCAGAGAGCTGGCCTGGAAGAGGGGCAACCGAGACGGAATCCAATGCCCCGACCGGGACTAGAACCTGGTGTGCCGGCGCCGCAAGGCAGAGGATTAGCCTAGTGAGCTGCGGCGCCGGCTAAAAGAGAAGTTTCTAAAGAGAGGGAGAGACACAGAGGGAGAGATCTTCCATCCTCTGGTTCATTCCCCAGAAGGCTGCAATGGCTGGAGCTGGGCCAGGCCAAAGCCAGGAGTCAAGAACTCCATCTGGGTCTCCCATGTGGGTGCAGGGGCCCAAGCACTCGGGCCATCTTCCACTGTGTTCCCAAGCTTTAGCAGAGAGCTGGATTGGACTGAAACTGGTGCTCATATGGGATGCTGGTGTCACAGGCGGCGGCTTTACCTGCTATGCCACAACGCTGTCCCTGCTTCTAGGAATCCCCTCAAAATGGGCAGACAAACCCAAAAAAGATGTTTATATAAGGATTTTTCAGAATTGCTTAGGATAGAACAACTTGATAGTAAACTACAAGGAGTATTGCTTGTGTTCAAGTCAGCTAAATACTAGTGCCATTACAGAGAATATCAACCCGGGTAGACAGAGGACGCTGTCTTTGGCATATTCATTGGCAGAGAATCCACTGAAGGTTATAAGAGTTAGTGTTCTGGCTGAAGTCACTACTTCTGTGTAAAAATAAAGTGGGTATTCTTAGGAAAACTCTGTAAGGAGATAGGGCTTTCATTTCTGTGTGATGAGATTAGAGAGTGATTTTTTTTTTCCTATTTTATACTTTCCTGTAGAGTCCAAATTCTTGTAACTAAAGGAAGTTTTAGAAAAAATGAGGTGCAGAATATCAAATCGTGGCTTAAGTCACTGGGAAATGAAAATTTGGTATTTAGTGCAGTTCTGCGTTCATTGTAACAGGCGTGTCCGTGGAGTTAGATCTGGAGCTGAGTCTTCGTGGCAGATAAGCTTTTGTCCTCTTTTTTTCAGAGCAGAGTGCTGACGTTCTCTTCCTTGCCTCTGGTATGTTTGAGAATTAGGTCCCACTAATGTCAGGAAGTGCAGACCGTTCAGTTCTTACAGCTTCTTGGCTTGTCTGTGTACCTGTAACTTCTTGTTCCTGTTTTTATATAGTTTATTGCCAGTGTGCAATGATGATTTAACCCCTTCCGAGTGGTACTAAGAGCTTTGTTAATATTTGCTATTGCTAGAAGACTGTTACTACAAAATGTCTTTTTAATGACATTATTTTATTACTTTTTTTTTTTTTTTTTTTTTACTAACAGTAGTATGTAATCCTGGCCCACATCTCAGTAGCTGTAGAATCCCTGCAGGCGTGCAGGGACAGTGTGACGGTCTGTCCATCAGCCTTGAAATGTCCCCCTCACACGATTCAGGTCCAGAAGACCCCTGAGCAATATGAACTAAGGAGAAAGATACTCAGCCTATTTTATATCCATCACTCCCTTTAAATATAGATATTGATGTGGGCTCCATTGGACGTCTTCCCTAATCTCTATATGGTGCCTACAGGCTAGTTGTAGAAAACGTAATACAATAAGGTTTTGGTTCTTATTCTTAGTGATACCTTGCTATAAGTGGTACTGCCAGCCACCCTCTCCTTGAAATATTTTATTTTGATTTAAAAAAAATTTTTGGTGATCTGCCTAACTAGCAGTTTTCTGTACTTTTTAGTTTACCTTCCTTGCAATCCTTGTTTTAGCTACTTTCTCCCATTCTCGTGGTCTCGGTTATTCTGCAAGTCTTTGCTATAAGACAAACACAGGAGCTTCAGTAGGCTATTGGGCGTTTCCCCTTGGATAGCTTCCTGTCACCTAGAATTTTTTCATGTCTCAAACCAAACCAGCCTTTTCCCCAAGTGAACTTCCTGTCCTCTGTAATAAAGAGTACTGTGTTGTCATTTTCACAGTCTTCCGGTCTCAAAACCTTGTAGGTACTTTGGACTTCTAAATCCTGTTGTTCCTGAAGGCTTCTCATTTGTTAGCCATCCACTGTTAAAACAGCCTCCCAGCCTGCCTCTTCAGTTCGTCTCTTCGTTAGCTAATATATTCTGTGTTGTGTCTCCAGACACAAACAAAGCTCTGTTTTTATCCTTAGCTCCAAAACTAAGATAATACTTTTTTTAAAAAAAGATTTATTTACTTATTTGAAAGGCAGAGCAACAGAGAGAATGAGAGATACCTTCTTTCCTCTGCTTCACTCCCCAAATGACCGTTAGTGTGGGCTGGGCCAGGCTAAAGCCAGAAGCCAAGAACTCCATCCAGGTCTCCCAGATGGGTGGCAGGGGCCCAGGTATTTGGGCAATCATCTGCTGCTTTCCCAGGGACATTAACAAGAAATTGGATCAGAAATGAAACTTGTGGGACTCAAAACTGGTGCTCCAACATGGGACACCAGTGTCAGAAGTGGTGGCTTAGCCGTAATGATGGTCCTACTCCTTTTTTTTTTTTTTTTTAAAGATTTTATGTATTGATTGATTTGAAAGGGGGGGGGGAGAGAGAGAGAGAGAAAGAAAGAGAGAGAGATATCTTTTATTCACTGGTTCACTCCCCAAAATGCCTGTAACAACCAGTGCTGGGCCAGGCTGAAACAAGGAGCCAGGAACTCCATCATGGTCTCCCACATAGGTGGCAGGAACCCAAGTACTTGGGCCATCATCTGCTGCCTTCCCAGGTGCATTAGTAGGAAACTGGATTGGAAGCAGAGCAGTGAGGACTTGAACCGACACTCTGATTTGGGATCCAGGCATCCCAGGTGGCGGCTGAACCTGCTACACCCCAAGACCCACCCCATCCTGTTTTGTTCTCGGTATTTCTTTTGTCTGTAGCTATCCCTATTCACTTGTTTCTGTAGTGTAGGATTTTGGCCTATTCTTAGTCTGGCCTTTATTGCTCACATACATTCTTTTGATCACCTCCTTATTCAGTCTTTGGTTTCTCCCAGCCACTGTTACCCCTTATTTCCCTAAGTTAGAGACTGAGTTGAATGGTGTCACATCATTGTGAGAATAGGTCTTGAAATTCAAGGCTGTTCTGAGTCTACACCTACTCTATTTATGTCTTACCTCATTCATCAAATATCAAGCTGCTTCCATGGACCTAGCTTGACCCTGAAGATAATACAGTAAGCAATATACAGACCTATTCCCTGCCTTCAGGTGGCGTATGGTTTGTTGGAGTAACCTTAGTTAAACACATGTAACTGACGGTGGTCAGTACCACCTAGAAAAAGTACCCATCTCCCACATTCTCTGTACATCCTCTATTCTAACGACTTCTTCCCACTTCCTCTAAGCTCTAGAGCACATTTGAATATTTTATAGTTTTTCCATTGGAACAGTTTGCACAAACTAAGGCACTTAGAGTTTATTGTTATTCCTCAGTTTAGGCATAGCGTATAGGAAGGTTATGGTCCTTTAGAGCCTTATATACTTGCCAGTGATTTAAATTGGACTGGCACTTGGATTTCATTTGCCTGCGTCTGGGTGTGTCGTAAGTCATATCACTTTCACCTACCTAATGGAGATTCAGTGGGTTGACCAAGTAGGATATTTCCAAGTAGTGTTCTTCATTCTGTATTGTAGCATCTTATTCCTTGTAGTACTTAAGATGAAGTACCTCTCCAGCCTAAGGAAGTCACTTGCTGAAGCTGACAGTGTTTTCTAATCCTCCCTTGATTTTTTCGTATTATTGGTGAATGATCAGATGAATCCAGTAGATGGATACCTTACTGCTTCTTTTCTCCCTAGATCTTTTACCCGGAAACTACAGATATCTATGATCGAAAGAACATGCCGAGATGTATCTACTGTATCCATGCACTCAGGTAATGAGATTTTCATGGTAAAATAGGCAATTTAGAAATAGCATCGCAATGATGTAGCTTTTTGCTCATGGTATAAGAATGAAAATGGTTTTCCATTAACTTGGATTTTCAAAAGGGTAGAATGCTATTATCCTAACAAAATATTGAGAAACAGCTGTGTTTTTCTAGGGACGAGGGAAGAAAGGATATATTTATTCCCACAATAGTGGATAATTTTGTTCTAAAAACATGGTGTAATGTTTCATTATTGATCGAGTGTTTGTGAATGATGCGTTTCCCGTGGGGGCAGTCTCTCTTATTTAATCTTCACCATTATTAAGCTGCTTATTCACTCATTAAACAATTTTTATACCAACACAAATATGGTAGTCAGAACTAAAGAACATATTTTTCTTAATTGCATAGTAAATTTGGAAAGTGACTTAGTTTTGGATCCCTGGCTCTTAGAATCAACAAGTTACTAACTTGGGAAGGAAAGGTGATCTGTCTGAAGAGGTGACATGGGGTAGGCTGGGAGGAGAAGCTTGTAGTACAGCGTCATAGTGCGGCATGGGAGCAGCGTATAGGAGTGTGCTGCGGGAATGAGTATGCTGTAGGAGTACAGCACACTGCAGGAAGTGGCGTAGGATCACACTGTGGTAGTGTCCTGTAGGAACAGAACAGTGCATCGTATTTCAGCAGACTTACCTGATGGTCATAGAGAAGATGGCAGAAGTAAGAAGGACATGAATATGAGATTTCTTTGGGCTGCTCTTTTTATATAGCATCCTGTACATGTGCTTAATAAATGATATTGCATGCATATGTATTTATAAGAAGCCTGTTATCTCCAATTTTTTGATTAAACATGTGCTAGATCCTTGGTTTTACTAGAATTAGTATGAAATACACCAAGAATGCATGTAGCGACTTCAGATGCATGTGTCTGAGCCCAAAGCCGGTCAATTCTGAGTGTTGTGATTGGCTTGGTGTTATGTGAGGTTTGTGTGTGTTGATAACCGTGCAAAGCCTTTACTCACAACTTGTATCTGAACTCTCCGGGTGCCAAGGGTATTTTTCTCTGCTAATTCTGTAGCTGCTACTCTGCAGTGTAACCTGTGCCCCAGCTCCTCAAGTTCTCTGTAAAACAGAGATGAAGAATTAACTGTGCCTTTCTAATGACAGCTCAGAACCACAAGGGAGGAAGCCCCCTGTTGTTTCCCATCCTCCTGAATATGCAGTTTGTGTATGCACAGAGCAGTGTGTTCTAGTTGGAGATTCATGGTTTCTTTCACGGTGTCTCTCCTGAAGGGCGAGTTGGCACCGTTTGGTGCTATGTGGGAAATGTTTATAACAGCTCAGAGCCTGTTCTTCAACCGTAGACGAAGCTGTGTTTGAGACGGGTTCCTTGCTGGCATCAGCAGTGACGGAAGCTTCATCTCCCTGCGCGTTCCCTCTCTGCTTTTCCCTTTTCTTTCCTACCGTCCTAGCTGGCATTATTCCAGCTGTAGTGGCTGTACTTCAGTCAGACCGAATTGCTTTTGTAGATAACATTCTGCTCTCAGATAAGATCCTGGCTCTCCATTATTCTGAAAGGATCTGTGTACTTCCTATGTTTTGTTAGTCTAAGAACTAATTTCTAATTTCTTATCCTAAATTAAGAAAAGCCTAAAAATCTCTGAAATTGAGTTTAAGTTGGATGTAAATCCATTTGTTGACAGAACCTGGTAAGAATTAATTGAGGTTATTTAGATTCTTTATTTAGTTATATGATTATTTGTGTGTTTCTGCAGAAAATTATGGATGTATGGATGTATGGAAGTATGGATGCTGCCACAGAGCTTACCGGTGTGTTTTGTGAATGCTCTGTAGACCTGGCCCAAAGAATTCGGATAAGGGACTGTGGCCCTGTACTAGATTCTGTTTCCTTAATCAACTGCCAAGCTTGAGAGTCTTTATTAATCACTTTGAGATTTGCATAGGGACTTACTTCCAGGTTACACTCACGCAGCAAGACAATTGTAATCCAAATAGATTAACACAGCTTCCTTCTCCCCGTTGTTACAATATACAGTTTAAATAGGAAAAAAGAGAATAAAAATATGTTAGATTTCAGGCTGGCTCGTTGTAGGCACTAACAGTCTACTTACAAGAGCAGGCATGGGAGACAGGAGCGAAGATTGGAAAGTGGTATTTATGGTTAGGACTTGTTAAGTTTCAGACTTGGGGGTAAGTACTTTTGATTCTGTGTAAGAGGATCTAAGTGGCCATTATGATTCTATTCATAGCTCCAGTATTGCATTGAAATATTCCTGATAACTACCTAATAATTAAAAAGGATTAAGGAAGGATCATGCCCACATCTTACCCTCTCCTCTACTTTTTATAGAAGCCAGCGATATCGTTGTAGCACCTTTAATTACCACTGAGAGGCATTAAACATTAACTCACTCTTCTTGGGTTGGGGCTGTGAGATCTTGTTCCTGAACTTTCTTCAAGTTTGACAACCACTTTCCTATTTCAAAATGGAAATTAAAGAGGAAAATTCCTGAAGAAAAGCATTCTTGGTCATTTAGAATGCAGGTGGATGGAGCATAGTAGTAGGAAAAATATATAAGGAGACATGTTGTATGTCTAGAAAGTTATTACTCTGTGTTGGAAAACTTTGGAATAGATTCACATCTTCTGAGGGGGAACTGTTAGCAGTTCCATACTGAGGGTTGCACACTGAAATAGGCACTTACTTGTGTGCATGCAGTGCATGCTTGTGCTTCTGTGAGAAAGCAGTTAGCTGTCCGGATTACAACTTCTCATGAGTTTCAAGCACTCTTGATGTGCTTTTTTTGTTTTGTTTTAGATTGTACATTTGAGTTTATTATATACAGTTTAAATTCTGACCAGTTCTATGAATGTAATATGCATGATACATGTTTGTATTTAGATGATACTGAGGTTTATAGATTATTTGCAAAACCTGTAGACCACTCTATTAAGCTTCTATGATTTGTTTATTTATTAAGATTCATTTATTTATTTGAAAGGCAGAGTTAGAGAGGCAGAGCCAGAGAGAGAGAGAGAGAGAGAGAGAGGTCTTCCATCCACTGATTTACTCCCCAAATGGCTGCTATGGCTGGAGCTGAGCCAGGCCGACCCAGGAGCCAGGAGCTTCCTCCTGGTCTCCCACGTGCATGCAGGGGCCCAAGGACTTGGACCATCCTCCACTGCTTTCCCAGGCCACAGCAGAGAGCTAGATTGAAAGTGGAGCAGCTAGGATTTGAACTGGCACCCATATGGATAGATGCCGGCACTGCAGGTGGTGGTTTTATGCATACGTCACAGTGCCAGCCCCAATTTGTTTCTTTTTTAAAAAAATGTTTCCCTCATTACTAAGCTGTCAGTGTCTTACTCGTGCTAAGTAAAGTGCCCTGCTGAAGTTCTCTTCTCATCCATCGACTTTGATATGCCAGGGCCTTAAAAGCCACTCAGCCTGCCTGTGGCTCAGACATCCCTCTATGAAAACAGTTTAGTATGTACTAGGCTCTGGGGAGACATTGGTTAGTGAGACCTTTCTTGTCCCTGCCTTCATGGAGCTTTGAATCTATTAGGTTTTTGTTTGCTTGCTTACTTGTTTCGTTTGTAAAACCTTAAGTTATCTGGGTTAAATTTGTCCATCAGTGATTCAGTTCGGTAAGGCTTGCTGTCTGACCATAAAGGCAGCACCTGGGTGGAGCGGGGCAGCTCACCTTCCTGTCTGTGTCTTCCAGCTTATACCTGTTCAAGCTCGGCCTGGCCCCTCAGATTCAAGACCTATATGGAAAGGTTGACTTCACAGGTAAGGGGTTACTCAAGTGGCAGGAGAAATGCTTAATTTACGTGGAAATAGCCTGGAGGGTCAGTTGTACCAGTTGAAATACTAGGGCTTAAGGAAATACTCTAGCAACAACGATGAAAGAGATATTAATAACTTGTTTCTGGTGTGGTGGAAAAGACATTGAACTTGGAATTTTGGGTTCTGTTCTCTGACAATGCGGGTGCGATTTTCTTTTTATGTTTGTTTTCTTTTAGGTAAATTGGAAATAATATCTTTCTCTTTTCCCTGTGGCAGGCACCTGTTGTGGGCAAAGCAAGGGGGAGAGTGGGGAGTAAGGTGATATGAGGATGCTAATCCAGCAATTTTACTATTTAAACTTCTTTGGGTGGGTGTTTCTGTGTGCATTTGCAGTCAGGTACTTGAAGAGACATGGAGGAAGGGGCCGTGGGGTAGTGTTGGTTAGGGGTAAGAGAGACGAGATCTTTCAAACTGCTGATTACTTTGTAGGCCTGAAGGTGAAAAATGGTAGCAAAGCTTTATCGGTGGCGTCTTTCCTTCCAGGGAAGTTGTTCACCAGGCTCGGGGCCAGGGCCAAAGCTTACATGCCATTTTCTTTATCATTTGGCATTCTGCCTCAGAATCCAAATTGTTGAGTAGCAGCTAGCAATCTGGATTGTACAGACTGAGATAACCGACCAGTTTGTGATTCACTTGCTGTTGAACTCCCTCTCAAGCTGCTGTGTGCATAAGTTCATGACAGGAAATGCCATAAGGAGCAGTTTTGGAAAACTGTTTCCTGTAGGGCCTTCTCACTTTAGAGTTGTTTTCGATGCCCTTGATAATAACAGCAACAATAATAGTTAATGTCTATTGAGTGCACTTGATATATCAGGTTCTTCCCGCTTAGTATCTCGTAAGTCCTTGTAGCAACCCTAGGCGTGGACGCCATTTCATCCTGTTGTGTAGTTGAGGAATCTTTTTCCTTTTCTAAGTTGTGGAATGGTGTTTAACTGGCTTGGCTGGGTGTTAATTCTCTCCTGTAGAAGAAGAAATCAACAACATGAAGATCGAGCTGGAGAAGTACGGGATCCAGATGCCTGCCTTCAGCAAGATTGGGGGCATCCTGGCCAACGAACTCTCAGTGGATGAAGCGGCATGTAAGACGACATCTGTGGGCTCAGATGGGGTTGTTGCTACCATTCCCAAAAATAAATGCCATAGTGGTGATCTTGAACATTTATATGCTTTGCTGGCAAGTTTAAGCACATAGATACCATTTTAAATGCTGTTATCTTCTATGTTATTATTATTTGGAAATAAGTGATATTTGATTAACCCCTTAAGTCCCACGTTTTCAATTCTGCAAGTATTTCAAGAGCATGCTATTTATTTCAAAGCTGCTGTAAGTGGTATGTTTATTGCCTAATTTAAGTCTTCATAGGTGTCTTGTATATAGGATGATGGGACATAATGGGTTAAAATGAAAGCATTTTGAAAGTAAGACCGACATTTCAGTGCCTTTTTGAGTGTTTTTGTGGTATTTGGTAACTGCAGGAGAACCTCTCCATAGGGATGCTCCTTGCAAAGCTCTCAGGTCGACCTTCCCTGTGAGGTCCCCAGCACAGGTTGCAGGCAGAGCTGCAGCCTTGAGCATCACAAGGAGAAACTCAGCTCACTGGGACCAGGGAGCCGTTCCGCCAGCCCCAGTCTGGAATGAGGGTTGCAGTGCAGCGCCACGTTTGTGTGTAGTGTGTATCCTTTACATGGTCTGTGTTCTGTGCTCTGATACATTTTCTTTTTCTTTTTTTTTAGTGCATGCTGCTGTTATTGCCATTAATGAAGCTATTGACCGTAGAGTTCCAGCTGACACGTTTGCAGCTTTGAAAAACCCCAATGCCATGCTTGTAAACCTTGAAGAGCCCTTGGCTTCCACTTACCAGGATATACTCTACCAGGCCAAGCAGGACAAAATGACAAATGCTAAAAACAGGGTAAAAGTGGAAAATCTGTTCTTTCTATCTGATTTAGATGCTTTCATTATTTGATGTGATTCCCATGTAAAAAGCCAGTTTTATTAAGGGAGAATTTACATATGGCAAAGTTACCCACTTTACTATTTGATGAGTTTTGACAAATAAGCATGGTCATTTAACCACCATTCCAAAATGTCACCTATACACCCTCCACCCCTGACCCCAGGCAACTACTGACCAGGTTGCTGTTGTAGGTATTTTTTTAGGAATACCCCATGTACATGGAATTACATGGCGTATAGTTGTTAGATTCCATTTTGACCTTTACATCTTGGATTTTGTGCAAATAAACTTCTGGAACGTGACCATTAACAATTGCGGTCCAGGGCTGGTGTTGTGTTGCAGAAAGTTAAGCTGCACTTGCGTCAATGCCAGTCCATCTCAGGGGGCTGGTTCGAGTCCTGGCTGCTCTGCTTCTGATCCAGCTCCCTGCTAATGTTCCTAGGAAGGCAACAGAAGACGGCTCAAGTACTTGGGCCCTTGCCTCCTGTTTGGGAGACCTTCCTGCTGCTTTCTCAGATGCATTGGCAGGAAGCTGGATCTGAAGCTGAGCAGCTGGGACTTACACTGTTCTGCTTTGGGAGACTAGCGGTGGCTTCACCTGCTGTGCCACAATGCTGGCCCTCAGAATAGTCTTTGTATCTCTTATCTTATTTGCCCCCTAAAGCAGGTGCTAAATTGGACTGCAGGCAAGCAGATGTGGGCTGCATTGCTAATGGGAGGCTCTAAGTTGGGTAGTGGGTATGTGCCACTCCTGCCTGGTCTACTGCAAGGGCGAGGGCCCTGAGCCCTACTGCCTTGTAAGTGAGCATGGCAGGGTTCATCCAGGGCTTGCTTTAAGTTCTCTTGTGGTTGGGGAAAAGCATAAGTGGGTTTATGTGGTTTTCTCAGAGGTGTGAGCTAATTTAGTTACACTTTAAAAAATTCTTTTAAAGGATTTATTTTTTATTTGAAAGGCAGAGTTGCAGAGAAGGAGACAGAGGTCTTCCACCTGCTGGTTCATTCCCCACACAGCCACAAGAGCTGGAGCTGGGAATCTCTTCCTGGTCTCCACATGCGTGCAGGGGCCCAAGCACTTGGGCCATCTGCTGGTGCATTCCCAGGTGCATTGGCAGGGAGCTGGATCAGAGGAGGAGCAGCTGGGACTCGCACCAGTGCCCGCAGGGACGCTGGCATCACAGGTGGCAGCTTAACCTGCTACGCCACAATGCCAGCCTCTAACTATAATTTTCACTCATCCTCAGACAGAAAACTCTGAGCGAGAAAGAGACGTTTATGAAGAGCTGCTCACCCAAGCTGAGATTCAAGGCAATATAAACAAAGTTAACAGTAAGTATGTTCCTGAGGTGGGCACCCAGGGGACACCATGAAGAACGTGTTGACCTGGTCTGGGACTTGCGATGCCATTTGTTTACTTCAGACGTTGGTGCACTTGCTTGGGAACTGTTGCCTATTACTGTCTGTGAGTTCTGTGCCTCTGGCTCTGTCATCAGTGTCCTGGGACTGCCCCCTCGCTTGCGTCTGCAGTGGCCTCTCTCCAGGTCTGTTTGGCTACAGCTTTTTCCCCTGTGTGTAATACATTTTTTTTTATAAAAAGCTTATTTTCCTGTTTTTAAAGTAGCATTATATTTTCAATTTTCTTTTGAAAGAAAAATACAGGCTCTCCAGAAATTCACAAAAAAAGTTAATCACTTACCACTCAAAGGCAACTTCTATTGTCATTTGTAAGCGGGAGCCTGGAACTGTGTATTTAAACAGAATGAGGGTTTTAATGTTAATTCTGACATGAGCATGCTTACCAATGAGAAGTGAATCTTCCAAATGTGTCGTTTTCTTTCTGTCACTCTGCCATCAAATCCACGTGGGCTCCTTTATTGCTTGCCACGTCCCTGGCCCGGTGGGGTTCTTTGTGCACTATGTCATGCACACAGCTCTCCAGGAGTTCCTTTACCCAGCCGTCCCCCATGTCTTCCTGTGCATTTCATGACTCAGGAAGAGTCTGGCTCGGAAGTAGCGTAGACCTGGGCTTGCTGCTCCTGTCCTGTCAACAACTGTGTGACATTGAGCCCCTACGTCAGAGTGGGGGGTAGGCGGTAGGTGATGACATGTGTGAATTGCCTGTGTTTAGTAAGTACTCAGCCAGTACTCAGTAGGAATGCTCTGTTCATCATGCTGTGTCCCCACTGAAAGGCCTGCCTGCCTCATCTCTTACCTGATCCAAACCACCCCTCATTCGAGGTCAGCCCAGTTCTCACCTTGGTGCCTATCTCGGTTCACAATGCTGTCCTTGTCTTTAAGCTGTACTACAGTGTTTATAGGCAAAACCATTCAATTCTGGACTTAATTGTGTATTGCCTTTCCAATGTCTTTATAAACTCCTTAAAGAAGTGGTTTATTTCTTTTGAAACCCTCACAATTCCTGGCATAGAGTTAGACTCACCCAAAGAACCAAAAGGTTTAATTTTAACCCCTGAGGCTAGGCTTCATCTTGTTTTGCTCAAGATAATGGTAACAGAAATCAGTGTCCTTGTTATTCACTTGGAGGTCCTGATCTCTCAGTGTCTGACGACTGGAGAGAGTTGTAAGATTTCACCAGCTCCGTGTGGCGCAGAACTCTACATCCTGACCCGGAGTCTGTGTGTTGTTACCTCCAGCCCACTTAGGATGGCGACTGTTTGAACAGTGCAGTGCTTCCGTTCAAGCTGGGTGACCCCTTGTGCCGGGCCGGCGTGAGGCCTTGAGCCTGCAGGCGTACACCGACGTCCCCGTGCTTTGTTATCTGTGGAGAAGAATGTCCAGCATGGGTCCTGTGCACAGAGCACATCCAACACTGTTCTAAACTAAGGGACTTTTTTTCTGTTGTATTATTTGGGATTTCATAACCTTTATAGCTTTACCTTGCCGTGAGAGTCAGTTATAAACGTACTAGGAAATAGCTGTATGTGTGTGTTCTTAACATGCTCTCTTGTGGTTCTCATGTTGTCAGAGAAGCAATGGCCACTCCCTCAAACACCTTCAGTGTCGTAGGGAAGGTAGCTAAGCAAGTGAATCGTTTCAGATTCACTAGAACGAGGTACCACGTGTGTGAGGGGCAGTCATGGATGAAAGGAAGAGAGGGTGGTTCCTGCTGGTGGTGTCGGGAGGTTTTCCCTGTACACGAGTCTTCACTGGGATTCTTGAGATGGAGAAGAGGGTGAGGATAAGGCAGAACTCCCTGCAAAGGGACGGTCTTTTCCTAATTGTGAGAAAGTGTGAGGCAAGGGAAAGTTGTGTGCTAGAAAGATACAGGGGCTTTCTTATTTTAAATGTAATTCTTGATAAAATTCTTTGCTGAGGGCACGAGAACCAGCAACAGGCAATAATACTGCCCCCGAAGAAAGCTACTCTCCAAAGAGTTAAAAATGGAAAAGGTTTTATTTATTTTTTGTTAAGTAGAGTTCGATAACGTTTTAGTGGGAGGAAGCACTTACATATTCTATCCATGTTTGCAATATAAGTCTTAGTAAATGTTCGTTTTCTTGTTTGCACATTTATTTAATCAGCACGTTTTTGATTCTAGGAAACACACACTTGACTGGTTCTTTCAGAGACACAGCCTGAGACTGTGCAGGGCCTACCCGGGGGCAGTCTGGTTGTTGCCCACACTGATTTTGTTTTCTGTCCCCCACCACCTTGAAGGCTCCCTGGGGATGGGGACAGCAGCGTTTTGTTCACTGCCCTAGTTGCTGGGCGGAGCAGGTCCTCAGTGCATATGGCTGAAGGGGTGGGGGACTGCACCTGTGCCGTAAGAGGCCGCCCTGCACCCCAGCCCCGGCACAGGGAGCGGGCAGTTCCCAGGCATTTGGGAGAAGCCACGTCTGAGGAGCCCGCAGAGAGATGACAAGTCCAAAGCAGTTCCTAAGCCTCTGCCTCTCTCTCCTCGGTTTTATTTACTAGTTCTACAGGTGCTCGTCCCCCCACCCCGCACCTACCTCCTATTTTGCATTAATTTGTGCCTTTATTGTCCTTGAGCTGTATTGTTTTTCTTCCTCACAGCTTATATTAATTTTCTTTTTTACTAATGGAAATGTTTAAAACTAGAAAATGCTGCCCTAGATATTTTGATTTTTTTTTAAAGTTTTATTTATTTTTTCTTCTTTGGTAATAAAAATCATCCTGGATTGGATTTTCTTTTTATAAAATAAGGAACCTGAAAATAATAAAGTAATTATGATTTCTGCAGTAGCTATCATTTCTGAACTCAGAATTTACTTTATTCTGACTTTCAACCTAACATTTATTATTTTACAGTCAACAAATCAGGTATATGATTTCAACTTCATAATCACCCTATGGGGAAGATATCTATAATTTTCAGGTGAAGGGACATCTGGGTTTTCAGTGTCAGGTGTTTTATTAAAGAGGTTCCATGACTAGAAGGAGAGAATATTTGAGAGGGACAGACTGTGCCTTCCAGTCTGCACAGGTGGGGCCACTCTGGACAGAGTGTGTCCACGAGATGTCAGGGTGCTGACTGGGTTCCAGGTGGTGCTGTGTAGGAGACGGTTGAGGAACGAAGGCTGGTACTGAGCAGCGTGCTGGCCCTGGAGGGGCTTAGATGCATTTGATGTGAACTCTGGGGTGGGAGAGTTAGAAAGTTTTTTTTTTTTTTTTTAAACAGAACTGTCCAAGGATTTAGTAAGTTGGCATCTTCTCTTGTCTAGTGGTAAACGTAATCTGGACAGCCTCTCATTGGCATTTTGGAGGGAACTTTAGGCATCATATTGGTCTGGATGGTGGCCTTTGAATCACTACCCATACTGGTGCCCGCTCCCCACATCTGGAAGCTGTTCAGCTGGGCTGCGGTGGGGCCCAGGAGTCTGTATGAAGTCTGATGCACACCCTGCCCGGGATCCCTGGACTCGGTGCTTGGAAGTGGCTTCCATCCCCATAGCCTTGCTCCTGAGACTCAGAAGGAAGGCTGGGTTACGGGTCCCGAATCTGGAGCTGGACTGGGGAGTCAAAGATCCACGGGGCTGTCATCTTAGAGTTTTTGCTAAGCTGCTGCCCTTTGTCCTCCTCAGCATTTTCTGCATTAGCAAATGTCGACCTGGCTTTGGAGCAGGAGAACGCGCTGGCCCTGTTCAGGGCTCTGCAGTCGCCGGCTCTGGGTCTGCGCGGCCTGCAGCAGCAGAACAGCGACTGGTACTTCAAGCAGCTCCTGGGCGACAGGCAGCAGAAGAGACAGGTGAGCGCGCGCGGGGCTGCCTGCGAGACTCGCTACCTCCACCGGGGCCCCGTGCTGTCGTCAGCAGACATCGATGTCCTTTGCTTTGCCTTTTTCTCCTAAACACAGTAGGTTTCTTCCTCCCCCGTCAGCGTCCTCAGGTAAAATGCATATCATCTTTTGTGCCTTTACTTTTAGAGCCAAGGGTCTGCTTTTAAGATAAACAGAACCCACCTCTCCATCTAACCACCCCTTCCCACCCGCTCCCCAACTAAACACCGCTGGGGACAGAAAACCCGAGGCTTTTTTACATTCCTGCTTCAGGAATTTCCACTTTAAAAAACCCACACCTCATTAGTTTCCTCGGCCGGCACTGGGGAAGTACTTACTGTGCATAAGGGTAGGTTGTGTGCGATTACACTTTGTAGTTTTGCGGGGAACAAACATAAAGGACTTGCGTTTTGTCTAAATGAGGGCAAGTGTACATTTTACAAATTCCTAGCGTATGTTGGAGTAAGTAGCGTTAACGTGCAAAGGATTCTGTAATCACTTTTCTCTCAAAACATCACAAAGTGTTTTCGAAGACGTCATGGTGCCTGGGAAGTCATCGACCCTTGATTTCGCAAGGGCTGCCGCCTTGGCTACCTGACACTGTCACCGCTGTCCCCAGCGCTGTCCCCAGCGGTTGCTGTTGAGACACGAGGACTCTGTGGGCTGACGGCGTGGCATGAGAGAACCTTGCATAAGTGGTCTTTACTTTTCTCAGAGTGGTCAGGCTGATCCCCTCCAGAAGGAGGAGCTGCAGTCCGGAGTGGACGCCGCCAACAGCGCCGCGCAGCAGTACCAGAGAAGTAAGAGGCCTTTGCACTGGACACCCTTGCAAGTACTCAGGGGGGGCGCGCTGGGCGTTCTGTCAGGGAAGCATCCAGGTTAGCTTTGGTCACCTCCCAGCCCGCCCACTAGCCGTAGGCAACATCTGGGCACTGTTGGTGGCAGTAGGATTCCTCCAGTTGGGGAAGCAGGACTGGAGTCAGTGCAGCTTCACTTTGGCCAGCAAGACTGCTTGGAGGCAGGGGCACTTCTGGGATTGGTGACAGGAGAGAGGAGAATGCTGTACCGCGGGGAAAAGGAAGCTGGAGCAGAGGCCCAGGTGGTAGAAGATGCGTTCAAGGAACAGAGATTGGAGTACAACTTCTGTAGGCGTTTTGGGCCGAGTTGTGAAAAATAAGGAATTTGGAAAGATTGTGGGATGCTTTGAATGGCAGCTTAAGAAGCAGATGTTTTCTTTGCCAGGCTGCAGGGGAAGTTAGAGAACAGTGGGGACAAATGCTGTGAATTGAGTGGTGAGAAAAGTGTGAGTGAGGGCAGCAAACAGGTTTACTGAGATTGAGCCACCCTACATACACGGATGCTGCTCTGGGAAAGAAGAAGGTCCCGCTGCAGACTTCTTGGCCGGTGGTTTACCCACAGAACCCCCCCTTCTTCCGTGAACGCTGACCTCTCCTCCCCGCCAGGGCTCTCAGCCGCCTGCATGTCTGACCTGCTGTTTCCCCCCAGGACTGGCCGCAGTGGCCGCCATCAATGCTGCAATCCAGAAGGGGGTTGCTGAGAAGACTGTCCTGGAGCTGATGAACCCCGAAGCCCAGCTGCCCCAGGTGTACCCCTTCGCTGCCGACCTGTATCAGAAGGAGCTGGCCACCCTGCAGCAGCAGAGTCCGGAGGTAAGCGAGCCGAGCCCGCCTGTTTGTGAGAGAAATGAGCAGCAGGTGAACCCAGTCCCCACTTCGTGGCGTTGTCGGGTAACCTGTGTTCCAGACACAGTTGTCTTTGGTTCTTTATTAAACGTCCACTCCCTTGGTGTGTGAGAATGCCTTTGCTCACTGTTTGCCCGTCTCCCTTCCTGTGCAGCATAGCCTCACACACCCTGAGCTCGCTGTGGCCGTGGAGATGTTGTCCTCCGTGGCCCTCATCAACAGGGCACTGGAGTCGGGGGACATGAACACCGTGTGGAAGCAGCTGAGCAGTTCTGTTACCGGCCTCACCAACATCGAGGAAGAGAACTGCCAGAGGTGAGGGCCCAGAGTGAATGAGTCCATTGTGTAGCCCTGGCCCTGTCTTTCGTGTGTCAACAAGTGTTTTCTTTATGGCTTTAGAGCGGGCATCCTGTATTCATTCTACTTTGATTCGTTTTATTCTTTATTATGCTAAAGGAGGTGGCAGTACATGATAGATGCCATGACATTCGGCTCTCACATACACAAGAATCTTACTTAAGTTTGTTCTAGAGCCAAAGTAGCACTGCCTCACAGATGAATACTCCTTCCCCATCACCTGTAGTTCAAGTCCATCTTCAGTCTTCAGTTGTTCCAAAACTATCCTTTAGGGCAGGTTTGTTCACATCAGGATCAAGTGCAGGACCATGTGTTGCACCTGTCTGTTGTGTCCCTTAGGTATCTTCTAATGCAGAATTGTCCCTTTCTTCATGGCACTACTTGTTAAAAGAGGTGGAGCCAGTTGTCAAATAGAATGTCCCATCTGTGGATAGTTCTGGTCACTTTCTGGTTTATTCCTGGAGATCAGAGATTAGATTGGAAGGCTTCTCATGATTCACCTCAACATTTGTGGTGATGTGCGTTTCACATCACCTCGTATCAAAAAGCACGTAACGTCTGCTTTTCACACCATCACAGTGGGTTCCGAAGGTGACCCCTGGATTAGGGAGGTAGCTTCTGGCTCCATGTTTCCCTCATCTCTCTGTGCATCAAAACGTCTAGTTTCCTATTACCCATTCACCTAATATTTTAACCCCAGTTGGTACTCTTTGCCTCAGTCAGTATTTTCCAGAAGACTTGGTTCTACGCTTGTTAGTTCATGTATGGCCTTACTTTCTTGAGTTTAGAGGAATTACTTGAGCTGTTGCCCTGCCCCTGAGTTGGTCTTCCTTGGGATTGGAAATATGTAGCAGGCTATTGAATTGAGTGGTTTCCTTGCATTTTCACACTTTAAGGTACCTCCCCAGTTCAGAACTAGCCTCTAGAACACATCAAGTGGTTGGGGCGCCCTGGCAATCTCTGCTCATCCATATTCGTCTCTGCCAGAAGATCTTATTTTCCATGCTGTCCTTCATTGTCTTTTTCTTGGGGGCCTGGGGCAGGTACCTCGATGAGTTGATGAAGCTGAAAGCTCAGGCACATGCAGAGAACAATGAATTTATTACGTGGAATGACATCCAGGCGTGTGTGGACCATGTGAACCTGGTGGTGCAAGAGGAACATGAGAGTGAGTAGTACTCCTGCCTTCTCTCCCCAGTAATGTCACCATTCAGGATGGTGTGTTTCTGTGAATTGATTGTAAATAATAGTCCTAGAGGGGCTTTTGGGTGAGAGATTGAAAAATATCTATACAACTCAGAAAGCTAAGATTTGGTATAGTTTTCAAAATATCAAACAATTGGAGTGGGCATTTGACTTAGTGGTTAAGAAGTTGGTTAGGACGCCTGCATCCCACACTGGGTTGCCTGGGTTTGATTCCTGGCTCCTGACTCCAGCATCCTGTTAATGCAGACCCTGGGAGGCAGCAGTGATGGCTCAAGTAATTGGGTTGGTATCACCCAGTGGGAGACTTGGTTTGTGTTCCCAGCTCCTGGTTTTGGCCCAGCCTATCCCCAGGCATTGGGGGCGTTTGGGGAGTGAACCAGTGAATGGGAGTGCTCGCTCGCTCTCAAATACATTACAAAAAATTCAGACACCACCAGATAATAGATATGGTATGGATAGATAGATAGGTATGGATTTAATAAGAACTGTTTTTTAGAGATGAGTTGAATATGTTTTTTTTTTTTTAAGTACTGTTATTATTTTTAGATTTCTTTCTGTCTGTCTCCAAAGGGCAGAGCAACAGAAAGAGAAGGAGGGAAAGATACTGGGTGTCCTCTGGTTCACTCCCCAGATGGCCACTACAGCCAGAGCGGGGCCTGTTCTCCCACACGGGCACAGGCTGTCCTCCGCTGCTTTCCCAGGCGCATTAGCAGGAAGCTGACTCAGAAGCACTCTGATATGGGGTGTCAGCGTCACAAGCAGTGGCTTAACCCACTGCGCCACAACACTGGCCCCAAGTAGTTCTTGGAATTGGGCAAAATCACACAGGTTGAGGGCTTCTCTTATTTCAGACCCTAGCTGCAGGCTCTGGGGTTCCCAGGTCACTGTACTTCAGAATAGTTGGCTACAGATTTGGGGGGTTCCCTCTCCTCCCCTGGTTCAATGCTAGTATGGCTCATGGAACTCATAAGAGTGCTAGGCTTATGATTGCAGTTTTATTAGAAAGGGTCCCCCAAGACAAGACGCCTGTAGGACAGTGTCTGGAAAGGTCCCAAGAGGCAGCTCCTGTGCCCTTTCACGCTGGTGTGTCACCAACCAGGGAAGCGCACCTGAGCTTTGGGTACTCAGGAGTTTCTGTTTGGCTTCATTACATTGGAATGATTGAATTATTGGCATGTGGTTGCCAGTCTGCTCCCCGCCCGGAGATGGGGAGGCCACGCTGGGGTCATGTGACTGTGAGCCCCAGTCTTTACAACCACCGAGCTGATCTTTCCTGCTTGGCCACATCCTGAAACTTTCTAGAGGCCAGCCAAGAGTCATTGGGCAGCATGTACAGTGGCGATGGAGGGGCTGCGAGGAGTAGACACACCCATCACCTAGGGATAATCCAAGGGTTTCAGAGGCTCCTCCCAGGCTCCCGGGACGAAGAGCAGCCACATTTTTTACTAAACAATGGATTCCTTACACAGTAGCACAGCTGCCTGAGATACCTGAGGTGGGAAAGCTTCTAATTTTAATTTGTTGTTCCTGTGAGACACATTCACATAACTTAGAGGGAAGAGCCTGTACGTGGCCAGGAGCCCTGGGCCTCTGTCTTCCTTCTGCCACTTGTTTGTTGTGTGATCTTGGAGAAGAGGTTCCTAAGCCCCATCTTTCCTTCCGTTAAATGTTAAACTAAGTGACTTTTTTTTTTTTTTTTTTTTTTGAGATTTGTTTTATTTATTTGAAAGAGTTACAGAGGGAGGGAGGGAGGGGGAGAGAGAGAGGTCTTCTATCTGCTGGTTTACTCCCCAAATGGCTGTAGCAGCCAGAGCTGGGCCAATCTGAATCCAGGAGCTTCTTCTGGGTCTCCCACATGGGTGCAAGGGCCCAAGGACTTGGGTCATGTTTTGCTGTTCTTCCCCGGTGCATTAGCAGGGAGCGGGATTGGAAGTGAAGCAACTGGGACTCGAATTTGTGCCCATATGGGATGCTGGCCCTGCAGGCTGGGGCTTTAACCCACTGCACCACAGCACTGGCCCCAAACTAGGTGACTTTTTAAGATCCCTTGAACTCTTGACTTTTTGCAGATCAGGAATTATTTGCCTACACATTTGAGATCTATACTATAAAGCTCATTTTTATTAATTTTTTTAAGGTTTTATTTTATTTGAAAGGTAGAGTTACATAGAGAGTGGGAGAGACACAGAGAGAAAGATCTTCCATCTGCTGGTTCACTCCTCAAATGACAATGACTGGGGCTGGGCCAGGCTGAGGCCTGGAACTCCATCCAGGTCTCTCATGTGGGTGGCAGGGTCCCAAGCCCTTGGGACATCTTCCTGTGTTTCCCCAGGTGCATTAACAGGGAGCTGGATTGGAAGCAGAGCAGCCAGGACTTGAACCAATGCTCAGATGCCAGCATCATAGGCAGGCAGCTTAACCTGTGCTACAGCACAGGCCCCTAATGCTTGTTTCATCAAAATCTGTTGCTGTGGATTCGTTTCTGGGAGGAGGAGCGTGGTGGGGGCAAGAAACATGGAGTCACCACACAGACCCAGGGAGTTGGGTGAAAGCCGGTCTGAGGCAAGCAGCCTTGCAGACTCGTTTATTTCAGTTGCTACAGCAGCTTATATAGCCAAGGCAGCCAATCCGGTCAAGGGGCAGTCTGTGCCCTAACCAATCACACCCTGTTGCCAGGCAGTTTCTGAAGCCATCCAATCACAGCCTGTTGCCAGGCAGACTCTGCTGTCATGTGGTTTCCGAAACCATCCAATCACAGCCTGTTGCCAGGCAGTTTCTGTTGCCAGCGGCCATCTTGGCATGGCCTTCTCATTCCACCACAAAAATCCTCTCCATTTTTAAGTTTGAACAATTAGAAATGAAACAAAAGGACTTGTGCTTTCAATGAAAATAGGAATGCAAGGGAGTTTAGACGAAATAAACAGCAAAAAACAATGCTGTTTCATGGATGACAAATTGTAGTTTGAGTAATGTTTACATTCAGGGGGATTTAGTAACATGTTTCAGGATTGATATTTATCTAATTTCTTAATTAAAAATATAACTTTTCAGGCAAGCATTTGACAGAGCAGTTAAGATGCCTGTATTCCATATTGGAGTTACTAGGTTTGAGTCCTGGCTCTGGCTCCTGATCCCAGTTTCTTGCTAAAGTGCACCCTAGGGGACCACAGGTGATGGCTTATGTGGTTGGGTCCCTACCATCCATGAAGGAGACCAGAGTTGGGTTCCCTGCTCTGGCTTGGTTCAGTCTTGGTTGTTGTAGGCATTTAAGGAGTGAACCAGCCAATGGGAGCTCTCTTTCTTTGTCTGTATTGGTCTCTCTGCCTCTCAAATTGAAGAACAAAGCAGGAAAACGGTATGCCTTTCTATTTAGGGATTTTAGCCATTGGTTTAATTAATGAAGCTCTGGATGAAGGAGATGCCCAGAAGACTCTGCAGGCCCTGCAGATTCCTGCTGCAAAACTGGAGGGGGTGCTCGCAGAAGTGGCCCAGCACTACCAGGACATGCTGATCAGAGCAAAGAGAGAGAAAGCCCAGGTGAGTGGCATTGCTGTGGGTCTTCTCTGTTTAGAGCGCTTCCTCCCCCTCCTCCAACAGAGCTGGGGTGGGGGTGGGGGGGTATGTCTCTGGGTGCACCTAATCTGTGCTGCCTGGGCACCCTGAGATTCCGGGCACAGAGAGACACAGACACAGGTGACAGGGACTCTGCCTCCTAGGAGCGCCTGCTGTTTTACACATTTGGATTTTTTTTTCTTTCTTTCTCCCTCCCTTCCTCCCTGTTGTACAGCTGGCCCTTTAAGTAAATTCCTTATTGAATTACAAGGTCCAGAAAAATGCAGTTATATATAAGTATGCAGTTGCATGATTTTTCAGAAGTGAATATCCCTGTGCAATTGTATGTGGATTATATGAAGTGTTACCGACACCTCAGACGCCTCTCTTGTGCCCCTTTGCATCCGTATGCCCCTGCTATCTGGTAGTAACCACTATTGTGATTCCTAACCTCACAGTTCATTTTTGCCCATCTTTGAAGTGTACTTAACTGGGATCCTGTGCCATGTGCGCATCTGTCTGTGTGTGTTGTGTGTGTCCATTATGTCAGTGATTTCGTATGTGTGCTTGTGTGTAGCAGTTGTTGTTTGTTCTCATTGTTGTGTACTATTCCGTTGTGTGGTTATATAGTCTATCATTGCTGAAGTTTGGTTATTTCTTACTTTTTGGAGATATGCATATTGTATTGTAGCATGTCTTTTATGGTGCTATGAATATTGTAGCATGTCTTTTATTAGATTTAAGAGTGAAGATAGATCATAGGAAATACATGCTTGTTAAACTTCAGTAGATAGTTGTGGGGAGCAACTGGGAGCAACTCGGACTAGACTAAGTTACTGGAATTAAGACTTATTCTATGCATCTGCTCTCCCACAATATGGCGCTGGGAGAGGAGGAAACAGCTTCTACACAGCTACCTCCAGTTCAACCAATAAGCTGCAGGACCTGCTCCTGATTGGAGGAGAGCAGCGTACTTGGCGTGTGGGTAGCAGAGTTGGGATTGGTGGAGAGGACTATAAAGGAGGAGAGAGACAACATGCACCAGAAACATCTAAGGGGAACATCTATCTGAAGGAACACCTGTGCAGCCCCCGAGAGAGCCGGCCGGCAGTGTGCCGCTCCCCCGCGGAAGTGGGGGAAAGTGGCAGGGGAACCACCCTTCCACGGAGGTGGAAGGGATGGTAGCCAACCCGGGAAGAACCAGCAGCAAACCCGGGGAGGGCCGAGCAGACGAAAGAACAGCGCAGGGTCCTGTGTCGTTCCTCCACGAAGACGGGGAGCGACATAATGGTGCCGTGACTCGGATATGAAGCCTAGGCAGGGTTTAGTGTCGTTCCTCCATGAAGAGGGGGAGCAACAGATAGTGTCATAAATGTTTTAAAAAAATTTATTTATTTATTTTAAAGGCAGAGAGAGAAAGAGATGAATGCCCACAGCAGCTGGGGCTGGGTTAGGCTGAAGTCTGGAGCCTGGCATTCAATCCTACAAGGGTGTCAGAGACCCAAATACTTGAGCTACTGCCTCCCAGGGTGCATGTTTGCAGGAAGCTAGAATTGGAACACAGCTGGGACTCAAACCCAGGCACTGTGCTATGGATGCCGACATCCCAAGAGGCATCTTAACCATTGTGTGAAATGCCTACCCCAGATAATATCATAAAGATTTGGGGGCTGGCCTTGTGGCATAGCGAGTGAGGCTGCCACCTGCAGTGCTGGTATCCCATATGGGTGCTGGTTCGAGTCCCAGCTACTCCACTTCCAATCCAGCTCTCTCCTATGGCCTAGGAAAGCAGTAGAAGATGGCCCAAATCCTTGGGCTCCTGTACCGTATGAGAGACCCAGAAGAAGCTCCTGGCTCCTGGCTTCGGATTGACCCAGCTCTGGCTGTTTTAGCCAGGGGAGGGAACCCGCAGATGGAAGATCTCTCTGTCTGCCTCTGCCTCCCTGTAACTCTGCCTTTCAAATAATAATAAATAAAGATTTAATAATAATAATAAATAAATTGATTATTATTTGAAAGGCAGTTACACAGAGGAGAGGCAGAGAGAGAGGTCAGTTTTGTTGAGGTATAATTTATATACCAGGTACTTCATCATTTTAAAGTGTATCATTCAGTGATTTTTAGTATTATTCATAAAATTTTGCAGCCATCAACATGATCAATTTTAGAACATTTTTATCACCCCAGAAAAGAAACCCAGTCCTTTGTTTTCCCTCCATCTTCCTTCAGAATCCCACAGTCCTAGGCAGCTGTCAGCCGGCTGCTTTCCATGTATTTATTCTGATTATTTCATACAAACGTAGTCCTGCACTACATGGTCCTTTGTGACTGGCTTCATTCATCCAGCATGGTTTGTCCAAGCCGTAGCAGTTGCCAATAGTTCATTTCTTTCTGTTGCTGAATGAAACTCATTATATGGCCATTCTACAGTCTCCATCCATGGTCAATAGAGTTGTAGGGATGAGTTCCATTTATGACTATTAGGAATAATGCTGCTGTAAAAGTTTTTCAGAGTAATTGTAACACAAACCTATATATTTTTTTTTTTTAAATTTTTATTTATTTATTTATTTTTTTGACAGGCAGAGTGGACAGTGAGAGAGAGAGACAGAGAGAAAGGTCTTCCTTTGCCATTGGTTCACCCTCCAATGGCCGCCGCGGCTGGCACGCTGCGGCTGGCGCACCGCGCTGATCCGAAGGCAGGAGCCAGGTGCTTCTCCTGGTCTCCCATGGGGTGCAGGGCCCAAGTACTTGGGCCATCCTCCACTGCACTCCCGGGCCACAGCAGAGAGCTGGCCTGTAAGAGGGGCAACCGGGACAGAATCCGGTGCCCCGACCGGGACTAGAACCCGGTGTGCCGGCGCCGCAAGGCGGAGGATTAGCCTACTGAGCCGCGGCGCCGGCTCCACAAACCTATATTTTAAAAGTTCATTTGTCTCGCCGCCTAGCTAATTTGTTGAGGAAACTGATGAGATTTATAACTCTTTTTATGCTGTTGCTGTCTAGGAAGTTATATGTTGCAGACCCTCATGTATTAATTGTGATTAAAACATAATTATAACTGTTTTACTAAATTGTGATTGATCTCATTTTGAAGTTGTTCCTAACTAATAACAATAGATAGGGAGACCCATAACTGTCTTGTCTTAGAAAATTCCTAAAGTGAAGTTCTTGGACAAGTGGAAGAGCTAAAAGTAAAACTTAATTTAGAGAGTCAGATCATTTCTGGAAAGCCAGCTGGATGAAAAGAGACCCAGGTTTAGTGTATTGGGGGTTTATGCACACTGACACAACATGCAGGCTCTATAAATTTAGTTTGGGGGTGGGGGAATTGTGGATAATGCTGTAATGCTGATGAATCTCCTTTGATTCCATTGCCATGAGAGGAGTTGACATTACTGTGTCCTAGTCATATGGACGCAGTGTCTCATAGCACCGGCTTTCATTTAAGAGGCGTATTACCATAGAATGTCACTTGATCCTGTGGAGAAGGTTGACTCACAGCAGCTTCATAGCCAGGGATTCGCGACAAAGAGATCAGCTGATTTCACTTACTTAGGTTGGAAGCTGGAAATAGGGGTCTCAGGCTCTGATTCCTTTTCTTGGCTGGTGATGAGAACACATTATTTTAAAAAATACAGATTCCTAAGCTTTAATTCCGATTCTGCTCATTCAGAGCCTCTAGGGTGGCGCCTGGCTGTAATGGCTCTCTGTGGGCCAGAGGAGGCAGCGTTTGCTTTCCTGGCCAGCATAGTCCTGGCGGAGCCTCACAGCTGGCTGTCAGTGGGGTGGGCTGGGGGAGAATTAGCTGCACTGGGGTCTGTGTCTAAAGGAAAGTAGCTTTGAGGATGTAGCTTGTGTAGCTGTCACTCATGCTGCCGGGCGGTCTGCTCCCTTTGTGGGGGTCATGGGAGTTAAACTTTTAGAGGATGTGACTAGAGTTTGAAGCATTTCCTTTTGGTGTGGAATAACTTTTCAGAGTTCATCAAAAGCAGAGGATGGGGAAGTTAAAGGAAAGTTTGCTTAACGCTGCCAGGTCCATCCGAGTGTTGGTGGAATCGCCTCTTTTTTTTTTTTTTTTTTTTTTTTTTTTTTAGGAATCTGCTTAACTTCTCAATTCCAATGACCCATCTTGGGAGTGGCTTTAAAAATAATTGTCACTGAGTTTCAAATTTAGCAAGCAAAAGATCCTAATTTAAATTTGAGCTGTAGTTTTCTTTTATTATTATTATTTATTTATTTATTTATTCGAAAGTCAGAGTTACACAGAGAGAGGAGAGGCAGAGAGAGAGAGAAGTCTTCCATCTGATGGTTCACTCCCCAATTGGCCGCAATGGCTGGAGCTGCGCCAATCCGAAGCCAGGAGCTGGGAGCTTCCTCCAGGTCTCCCACACGGGCACAGGGTCCCAAGGACTTGGGCCATCTTGTACTGCTATCCCAGTCCACAGCAGAGAGCTGGATTGGAAGAGGAGCAGCCAGGACTAGAACCGGCGCCCATATGGGATGCTGGCGCTTCAGGCCAGGGTGTTAACCCACTGTGCCACAGTGCTGGCCCCTGATCTGTAGTTTTTATGTGACATCTTATGTCACGTTTGGTGTCAAGGTAATACTGGCCTCATAGAATGAGTTAGGAAGTGTTCCTCTCTCTTGTACTTTGAAAGGATTGGTTAAACATTTGGTAGAATTCACCAGAGAAAACATGTGATCCTGGGGTGGGGTGTTTGTATGTGAGGTTTTTTGGTTAGTAATTCCATCTCTATACTTATTATGAATCAATTCAGCTTTTTCCTTGTCCAACATTCTCCTTGTCTTCTTGGAATTCGATTGTATTATATGTTAGTATGACTGATGGTGTCCACAGTCCTCAAGCTTTGTCCATTTTTTTTTAAAGATTTATTTATGGCCGGCGCCGTGGCTCAATAGGCTAATCCTCCACTTTGCGGCGCCAGCACACCGGGTTCTAGTCCCGGTCGGGGCGCCGGATT